CCTGGAGGGGAAAAGGCATGGTCTTCACGTATAAAATGTTTTGGCTGACTACAAAAAAGGAGAGTACTCAATTCTGTATGTATTTTTTTGAATGCACTTACATGTTATGTAGGTATAATTTACATGTTACGTGATATCTACATATACGGTAATACGCTTGTATAGTCAAAAATGTTCTCGCAATAAATAAAAATTATACTTTTTTAACTGCACACGTTATACAATTTAAAAAAATAATTAAAAACGCTTTCTTAATGCAACATTGTAAATAAATGTACTTAAAAATGACTGGTATTCTATTATTATTGAATAGCTTATTGCATAACTTATTATTGTTACATCTTGTTGTGCTTTATGTATCGGAGTCAATGGCCTAAATGGTTAGGTTAGCCTACTAAACACTACTAAACAGCTATCTTTTCGGATTTATGTTGATTTTTGTTTCCCGACGTTTCGAATCTTTACAGCAATCATGGTCACGGAAGAGACTAAGGTTTTAGATGACTCAAAGGCATTATAGTTGTTACAGACAGCCCACCCACAAAATAACAAAATAAATCCGCGCAAACATCCGGAAAGATAGTTTTATTTAAAATGTCAAAAATTCGCGTAAATTTAATAAGAAAATATTAAATATCACATTTGTTATATCTAGGAACCTTCAACCAATCCGTTGATTGGTTCAATCTTAGAAGCTAAGATCAATTTCGCGATCACTCCGCTAAAACGTTGTATCTAAGAATTTTCCATTATTTTTCATTATTAAAGCAATTTTCGAATATTAAGTGCAAGAAAATGAAACTTTAATATATTATATTTTAATACTATAAGTAAGTGTATTTCATGTAAAATATGAACGAGCTTTTGTGCTATATATAAAGCTTTGAGTAGCCACATGCAGTAGCAGTTTGATGAAAGAACTTTATATTTAGCTGTTAAAAACACTAAGCAACATTGATGCAACTATGTACATAAAAGTTTGTTATTTTAAGAACCCTTTATAAAATTCAAGTTTGTTTATAAATTTTATCAAAGTATTACTTGTTCTAACAAAATTGAACTCTTTGAGTGTATACCATTAATTTATTATTGTATACAGCCCTTTTTAACGTCCCAATGCTGGACAAGAGCCTCCCTTCAATACGAGTGGGATCAGGCCTTAGTCCACCACGCTGTCCAAGTGCGGGTTGGCGGACTACGCATGTCTTGCGAAAACTTACTAAGTTCTTTTATAAATACAGGTTTCCACACGATGTTTTCCTTCAGCGTAAGGCAAGTGGTAATCATGTTGGAAATGATACGCACATGAAAATATCAGAGGTGCGATCCGGGATTTGAACCCGCTTCACTCGGTTTCCCAAGTAACCGCATCACCACTGGGCTAAAACTGCCTTAATCTATTAATAAATATCCTAAATTGAGCTCATAATATGATTATTGTGGTTTCCATCATACTAAAGAACAATATTGACACAATTTACACACAATATTACATTAAATATAGTTGTAAAACGATTATTTGCTATGGTTTTATCAGAGCTTGTGTTTGAAATTCGACCATAATCATTATTAAAAATTTAAGGAAAATAAACAAAAAAAAATAAAATTGATTGACGAACAGAGGAGAAAGAGGTACTGAGTTGTTTTGTCTCTTTCTATTTATATCTACACTTGTTACATTTAACCGTTATACCTTTACTATTTGCTATTAAATGTAACAAGATTATGATTGTATTGAATGTATTTCATTGGTACTTTTTTATTCCACGATATTTTCTTTATTTGGGAATATTTTAAGAATAATTTACCCATTTCTAGTGAGATTATCAGTAGTAAGTAAAACTGAACTATCATCTTTTTTGATAGTGATGATCCAGACATCCTAGGTTCGAGTCCCAGCTCGGGCCAAATATAGTTAATGGATTATTCTATCAAAAAAATTGCAGTAGCAACTCAGAGTGAGTAAGTAATTACATTCCCATGCCTCGGGGAATACGTAAAGTCAGCGGTCCTGCACCTGATCTCTCACCGGTCTTATCGAATTGTTGTCCCATGAGATTTTAAGAGCGAAAGAATTCACTTGCACGTTTGAATAGGATAGTCGCCGTGAATCCATTCGATCTGGGAGACTAAATTTTTATGAGCAATATGCTTTTTTTTAAGATTTTCGACAATTTCACAAATTCTCTTATTAGGAGGAAAAATATGAATAACTACGTAGCAGAAAAAGCCGCGTGCAAAAAATAGTCAGGTATTTTAGATGTTTTAAAAAATCATATATGAAAGATACTGTAATAAATATTGTTAAATCTAAACTTAACGTATAGAGAGATCTCTTCCTGCAAAAATCTATACATACAATAAAATTGTAACTAAGCCGAATCTATACATTTAAATATTTTTTAGAAAATCTTATTGAAATAAACCTTATTATCGATACAGAGGCCGAAACTATAGTTTTTAGAATTATTGTCTGTCTGTCTGTCTGTTACCGCATCACAGAAAAACCACTGGAGGGATTTTGATATTTGATATGGTGATAGCTGGTTATTGGATCAACATATTCCTATATGTTATCCAATAACCAGCTATCTATATATATGGATATTCCTATACTTTTTACCACGGGGAAATATCTCATTTTTGAGAAAAATACAGAAACTGCAATGCAACATAAGAATTTAGTTTTTGGTCACCCGAACGCGGGCGGAGCCGCGGGCGATGCTAGTAAAAAAATGACTATAAATTATCGATACATTATCGATTGGTTTACTTGAAGCTAAATAATCTCTTAGAAGTTTTTAGAATTTTCGTATGTTTTATTTGAAACGGCCATCTCTTGACCAATATGGGAAATAAATATAATATGTACTTACTCGATGTACGATTGCATCAATTTGCTGCCAAAAACTGCTCATCGTGAAATCAACAGAAAGTATGCAATTGCTACACTAAATATGAACTTTCAACTAGGATAAGTACGAGATAAACGTATATTGTGACGTAATAAAGTTTCGCAATATACCTAGATATTGCATTAAGATTGTCTCTCAAGCTACTGTTTCTGTAATTATTTCACTAATCTATACATATAATAAAATTGTAACTAAGTCGAATCTGTAAATTAAACATTTTTTGGGAAATCTAATTGAAATAGACATTATTATCGATACAGAGTCCGAATCTATAGTTTTTAGAAATTTTGTCTGTCTGTCTGTCTGTTACCGCATCACGAGAAAACCACTGGACAGATTTTAATGAAATTTGGTATGATGATAGCTGGTTATCCGAGTCAACATATAGGATACTTTTTACCGCGGGAAAATATCTCATTTTTGAGAAAAAATACAAAAACTGCATTGTAAGAGTATACTAATATGTAAAACCTACGAATTTGGTCTTTGAACGCGATGTTATCTGAACGCGGGCGGAGCCGCGTTCAATGCAAGTTTCTTATAAAAGTCATACTATAAGCTTGATATATAAATTAACATAACAATCCCTTTTATATATAGTTATTCTGACTAATCTAATTGCGAAAAAATAATACGGAAATTTAACATTAAATATTTTCATCAATTCCATTATTATGACACAAAAATCAATATAACTTGAAAATGAGAATTTAATATTTTCATAAAATAAAAAAATGGCCCAAGCAAAAATTGGACGGATTGCTAGTCTTCACCAAACCATATTACTCATATTCATTATACATATTATATTGTTAGTATAGCTATTGTATAATATATTTTTAATGTGGACTTCATATAATCTGGGCTAATGAGTAAAGGTTGAATGACTAATTAAAGCTGACCATTGTGTATTTAAGGTCGTTTTGTGGAAATATTTCAAATTAAAAAATCTTATGAATCTGTTTCGTTTCATCTTATCTATTGTTGTGTGCTTTGCTTAAAAGTTTTTTTTTCATTGTGTATATTATAGAGTATAGCATAGTGGTGTTAGGATGGATAATTATGTAAAATTTTCAGTATTTATAGAGAAGGTTAGTTAAGTCATATATACGACTTTACTAACATAGTCTATACATACTCGTATTATAATAAAATTCTAACTAAGCCGAATCTGTACATTAAATATTTTTTGGAAAATATTATTTAAATAGACATTATTATCGATACAGAGGCCGAATCTATAGTTTTTAGATTTTTTGTCTGTCTGTCTGTTACCGCATCACGGAAAAACCACCGGAGGGATTTTGATGAAATTTGGTATGGTGATAGCTGGTTATCCGGGTCAACATTATAGGATACTTTTTACTGCAGGAAAATGTCTCATTTCTGAGAAAAAATACAAAAACTACAATTTAAGAGTACACTAATATGTAAAACCTAAGAATTTGGTTTTTGGTCATCTGAAAGCGGGCGGAGCCACTTGGCAGTTCAAATCGTTAATGACGAGAACACATTACAGATACTGATAATCAACATTTTAAATTAAATTTTGCAAAAGCTCTCCAAATGCGCTATCTTCCTCTCGTCTTATTTAATAATTAAAAAAATTATAAGTAATACAACAAACATAACCATATATATATATATATATATATATATATATATAGATTGAAAACAATTTAAATTATTTAATATATATATATATATTGTTATTATATATATATATATATATATATATATATATATATATATATATATAATAACAATTTTAACATAAAAATTTAATTGTTTTCAATCTCTCAAATATTTGAGATTTCTTATCAAACAACAAGAAAAAATAAAAATAAACTAAAAATAATATAAATAACTTTAAAAATACAAAATAATCAATAGTAAAGCTAGATTTTGTTCAAAGCTTTTAATGATAAAAATCTGCATTAAATAAAGTATCAAAAAGCTCTTACAGGATTATGTAGAGTATAAGTTGTTACAATTAATGACGTAAAAAGCCGGTACACCAAAGCCATATAAGCGCTGCCTTGTAGCCGACCTGCGCATACGCGCGTGTGTAGTGACTGTGTTATAATGAAGCTTACGGTTAGTGATTTAACGTGAATATATATTTATTTGAGGATATCCTTTTTATATGTGATTTTGATTCATTTTACTGCAAAGAGTATTGTATTTTAATACAGATGAAAAAAGCTCTATGACTGCTGATAGAGTTCGAGAATAGAGCGAAAGAGAATCACATTTAGAAGTTTTAAGAATTTTCTTAAGAACTTTCTTATGACAAAATACGTATTCATACTAATATTATAAATGTGAAAGTGTGTTTGTTTGTTTGTTTGTTTGTCCTTCTTTCACGTCGAAACAGAGTAATGCATTGGCACGATTTTTTACGTCTATATGTACTATATTTGAAAAAACTTATAGAAAAAGTATTTTTTATACAGATAAAAGTACATATTTTTTTGTTTTTATATGTATTTTTAAAATATTACGCTAGATTACTCTACTTCTGCTTGCGGCTGTCAGCCATGCAGCTAAGACGAGCAGTCCAAAGAAACACAAAGCCGAAGATAGCGAGAAAACAGAAAAAAGAGAGTTAGATGAAGGAAACCGTGGTGTCGAAAAGAGAACTCCACTTTTATCCACGGGTATGATATCTAATATTTTGATTCTATATATTCTATATATATTTATAAAGTTTAATTTTTAATTCAATTCAAAAGTTTAATTTTAATAATATACAAAGTTTTAAATTATTTAAAGTTACACGTTAAAACACCTCTATAACTTTTTTATTTTAGACACTCTTCAAAGTCAAGTTAAGTATTTTTGCGAATAAATTTAAAGTTATGTTAATAATTTAAACTCAAATTTTTTTTTCGTATAATTAGATTTTTTTTTGAAAATATTAAAAATTCTATCCAGTGTCACCTGCCGTAACCACCGCGGGAGTAGAGTACGCGGATACAAAACAAGATCTTTCGGACAAATCGCCTTCACAGGTTAGTGTTAAAGAAAGCTTCATAATCTATATCAACGTAAATTAGCCTGGAATTCTGGATGTGATACTAAGGGATAATGTAGACAGAGTATCATAGAACTAAACGTGAAGCCAAATAATAATGTTTTATAGTACCTATAGTAGTATAAATATTAATTGAAAACTCATTACTGCGATAAAAAAATAAATGTTAATAAATAAAATAGCTAATGGATTTTAATATAATAAATATAAAGAATAAATTAAATAAGCTGATTAATTAATTAATTAATTCTATTCTAAAAAAAAAAAGCTAACATTGTTCTATTAATTTTTTTCAAGGGAAAGAAAACTAATTCTTACAAAATACAGTAGAATAAATAAATTAATTAATATGTTGATACATCACACGTATATAATTTAGACATAGATATTATAAATATATACCCCATGATTAGAGTAAAAACATTCGTGCTCATCACACAAATGAATCCAGCGGGACTCGAACCCGCGAACGCTGGCACAGCAAGTACACTACAAACTGAGCCAAACGTGTCATCAAAAGAATATAGTGTTATTTTATTATTCATATTTTCTTCTTACTCTATAAATAATATAGTCGATCAGAATAGAAAAATTGTGAACAGTAGCATAAACAGCCAAATTACGCTACTATTTTTGACTTTGAAACTTATTTATGCGGTCTCCGTCTATATATGTAATTTTCTGGTCTGTTAAGGATATACTTATGTTGTCTTAACACACTCGAATCTGTTGGGTGGAATTCAAAGACCCAAAATCATTGCATTTATAATTTTTCGTATGATTATCAATTATTCCTATTATTATTATATAAATATTTGTTCGTCACAATATTTGAATGCAGTGCAAGTTCGCCATCCAAAATCTCGTACTATATGTAAACAAGTCAACTTCTGAAATAGTTAAACACTATTCGTACGTCTCACAATGCTTAAATTTCTCAACTTTCTTGTATTCTCTTGTATTAAGTATAAGTACCGCCATTGTTACGTTCCACAGATTGCAGGATTTATGAGGAAAGTTAGGTTTAATAAAGAACTTCTTGACGTCTCTGATGAATGTTCCCTAGAATTTTATGGTCACCTTGGAACGTTAAGGTGTTTTATTCTTTTAGTGAAAAACTTATTTGCTTTTATTCCTTTCCTTGTTTTATTGACTCTACGTTTTATTAAAAGTGCAATTGGTTTAAAAGCGATCGTGTTTATATGTCACTAGCAACTCACCCTGGCTCCGCTCTGGTTTGTCCTTAGTTACGCTTATAAGTAGTAAAAAGTATTATATATGTTGACCCGGATAATCAGCTATAATCATACTAAATTTCATCAACATCTATCCTGTGGTTTTCTCGTGATGTGTTTCCAGACAGACAGACAGGAAAACAGACAGACAAATAGACATAAATTCAAAAATATATAGATTCGGTCTCAGTATAGATAGTAACGACTTTTACAATAAGATTTTCCAAAAAATATTTAATGTACAGAGTCGACTTCGAATTTTATTATATGTATAGATGTGTCAAAATAATTTCATGATATTTTTCCATAGAATGTATAAGCAGTTTGCGAGAAATAATAATTATATACATACATAATTATATAAATAAATATTGCGAAGAGCAGTATATGTAAATTAATATAATTTGTAAAATCTGACTTTTCACCAAAGTTAACACCTCTAAGTAAATTTCTAAGAAATTAATTAAAATTCTAAGAAATCTATTGTTAACTGACACACCGGCGTGTCCGCGGTCGTGGAGGGATTAAAAATGTCACATTCAAGTTTGTTATAGTATTAAACGCATTTATTATCTGTGCTTTATCGCCAATTTAAACATAACTTATCTGTAACCAAGACGTAAAAGATAATATTAAAAAAAAAAACCACCTTTTTACATTTTACTTCAAATAAAAAAATAAAAAACACTATGATTTTATACATCAAAATTTTACCTCTTAATAATTTCTTTAATAACTGTATAAACACCGCTTTATGTTAATTATACGTATATTTTAGCACCTAATTTTAAAATAGGGCTAATAAGAGGGTTCTCATCCCTTAGAGTGCAGCTCTTTACGATGATTGAATTATTATTGTACCCTTTTTATGAAGGGTTTATCTAAAAGCCCTCGCGCTGTATATTATACTAGCAACTCACATCTGCTTTGCTCGGGTTCGTCTCTAGAAAAACGGAAACTAATATACTCCACGAGAAACATACATTTTTCCGGGATAAAAAGTAACTTGTGTGCTATACCAGACTTTAATCTATCTTTGCGCTAAATTTCATCCAAGTCCATGCAGCCGTTCTGGCGTAATTGAGTAACAAACAACCATCTAAACATTCACATTTATAATATTAGTAAGATTAAACAAGTCGTTTCCTATCAATATACATATTTCCATCCAGAACGATTATGACATATTTTAGAAATTCATGTTAGTTATTAAAAAATCTCTGTTATATTCCAAACTTACATGTTTATTAGAAGGTAAGAATTTGTTTGAGATTTTATATAAATTTTATAAAGAGGTAGAGTTTATTTGAACGCGCTAATCTCATTAAGTACTAATCGGATTTGAATTTTTTTTTATATTAAGTATCCGCTATACGTTATATAGTATATATCATCTATACATATAAAAAAATGTAACTAAGCCGAATCTGTACATTAAATATTTTTTGGAAAATCTTATTGAAATAGACATTATTATCGATATAGAATCCGAATCTATAGTTTTTAGAATATTTGTCTGTCTTTTTGTCTGTCTGTCTGTTACCGCACCACGGAAAAACCACTGGAGGTATTTACATAAAATTTGGTATGGTGATAGCTGGTTATCCAGGTCAACATATAGGGTACTTTTTACCGCGGGAAAATATCTCATTTTTGAGAAAAAAATACAAAAACTGCAATGTAAGAGTATACTAATATGTAAAACATAAGAATTTGATTTTTGGTAATATGAACGCGGGTGGAGCCACGGGCAATGCCCAATGCCCAATGATAATATATAGTCTATCTATTCCATACTAACCATTAAAACGTACAGGGACGAACCCGAGCGAAACAAGCGTGAGTCTCTAGTTTTATATAAAAATCAATACGAAAATTAAATGGCATAGCTACTTTAAACGAAATATCACGTACGATAGTTTCTAGATAAGATACAATATTTCTCTAAATAGCTTATTTTATTACGTCCAAATCCCATCACTTCATTCCAACCTTTCACGAGACATAGCGATATTTCATGCGATATGTATTCGATTCTGACCCTCGTATTTTGGATTTATCTCTTCCCAGCGCGTATTTACTGACGGGACTATCTTATTAAATTGAAGCTATCAATCTGGAGTTTCATTTTTGTCCAAAGAAAAGGTATTGTTATATGATGTATGAGATTCATTTTTTGTTCATTTTTAAGTCATATTTATTTTGTAATGAATTTAACTACTTTCATTCATAAAAACAAAAGAGTATTACATAATAATATTAGCCTTAAGTTATTATCGACTATTTTATTTAAAATGCTTCTGTAGATAAATAAAAGTTGATTTTATCTTTAAAATAACTAGAAAACATAAACGTAATTATAAATATTGACGACACGTCCAATTTATCGGAAGTGTTACTTGCTACTTTGTTAACGGTATGTATTTTAAAATGTTATGTAGGATGTGGTAGATTTTGCTTTGTTAACTGTTCAACGGTATATTTTATATGTCGGTTGTGGTATTTTAATTTATATTTCTTATATTGCTATTATAAAAAATGCCCTTTGACGCTTTTGGTTCACCTATACTGGCTTGGTTCTATTGACTGATAATAATTTTCGCACTACAACATACACACAAATATATATATTTTTTTAATTTATTGCTAGTCCAACTTTTTATTATTAATATGTTTTTTAGTTAATAGAGAATCTCCATTGCCATGTGGTTTTCGAAACCAGTTAATTAAATTAAATGAAATGCTTGGTGACGATTTCAATGAATATGATACATCAGAAAATAATGAACCCACTTCATTGATCTCGACTTTTTACTGAACGTTATGAGTCTACTACCAGTTCGGAAAGAAGTAGCCTCAGACCTGAGAAGAACTGACGAAAGAAACTCAGCGGGATTAATATTAGTAGCCTGGAGGCGATAACTTCATTCCCAAGCCGTGCTATCTTCTATAAAATCACATATTGTATAATAATAGCCTTTAGCACACAAACGTTCTTCAACATTTTTTTTTGAATTTGGCGATAGAAGCTTTTTGAATATTTTCTGGGATCCTGTTGTAGAAGCATATATACATTGTCCATAAAAACATGCCTATGTAGACGAGTCACAGGCATTACAAGTTTGTGTTTGCTCCTAGTATTAATGTTATGCATGTCACACATCTGGATAACGAACATATGTTTAAAACATTTTCGTACACGTACTGAGAAGCAACAGTCAATATTTTTATTTCTTTAAACTTATCTCTTCATGACAGGGCCTAGGCTATAAATTTCACGAATAGCTCTTTTCTGCTGGACAAAAATCGTATTAATAGCTGTTGCATTTCGCTATAGTAAGATACCATAGAGCATAATACTATGAAAATAACTAAAATATACTATGCGAGCTGTATCTACCTCAGTAATATGTCTCCAGAGCTAAGTCTACTTGCTAGCCTATCAATGTATATACTTGGAACGGAATTTAGGAGAAGAGTTACATCCAAAACGAGAGTGACAGTGTGCATTCGATTATTGAGCGCGCTAGTGATCGCAGGTTAATCTATGTTCCAGATGAATGGTACTGTCTTGTTCGCTGGGCTAAAGCTGAAAGTAATCTCTACAGAGAAAAAGAAATCACAACCTCTGATATATTCTTATCATCAACCTCTGTTGTCAAGTAAAAATTGATCGCAAAACAGTGATAATGAGAAAATCCGGTGACGGTACATGCACAGCACTATAATGGTATTGAATATA